GAAAACAAAGATCAAAAATACTTTAAGAAAATCTAAAGACACATTAAAATAACTAATCTATGGCATCAAATTCAGAGCTTTCAAGCTATTCCAGTGATGCTGCATGCTAGTGGCAAGTGTCCAGTTTTAATGTTGCAAAGCTCTTGGTTGTGAGTTTTGAAAATGGGTCTCTAAAGTTAAGTTCCTAAATCCACATTTAAGCATTTTAAACCAGAAATGACTTACTCTTTCAGAAGACATGCATACCCCCAGCTCGTATGGTACTGAAAAAAGATAATTTGTTTAGGTGTCTAAATTGACACCTAAACCTAGTTGCCAAGTTCAGATAGGTACCCTACTTGTTTAATTGTTGGCTGCCATACACAATACAGTTCTGCAATGCACAAGAGACAGAACTGTAAATTGATCACTGGTGGGGATTAGTTTAGATATTTTTTCCTTTTTAATGCAATATATATTTATTAATCTCTGTGGTTTAATATTTGCATTATCTTTTGCTGAATTAGAAGTAAAGACCCTGGTCATACTCCCATTGAGGCTGATGGCAAAACCCTTTTTGGCTTTGGTAAGAACAGAAGTGAAAAACAGTTGATTACATCGAGTGATAAAATTTGACTAACCTCCAAAAAAGCTTTGATCTGAGTTCAGATGGCAAAGAGAATATGGAAGAAATTTCAGCTATTATATCTGTTTGTGTACTGTAAAAGGGGATGGAAACAAGAATGAATAAAATGTATAGCCAGTGGAATCTTTATGAATTATCCTTATGAAAAACAACATCAGTACAAAAATATGTATCATTATCCAAAAGGGAAAAAACTTGGCAACTCTTGTTGAAATGTACAGCATTAATCAGATCAAACATAACGCAGTAATATGGTTGTACTCAGAGAGAAATGTTCAAACCAGTGTGCCTAAACTTTGGTGACTAGAGATTTGGATATCACATTCCTAGGAACATTACTGGGTCTAGTTGTTCACCCAGCAACCTGGTAAGGCAACCATCTCTTTCAGTCGCATAGGCATCACTGAATACCTCAGACTAAGTATTTTGCTGGGGTTCCTAAAAAAACTGATTTTATTTTGAGATGTGCCCCTCTTACATCCTTTTGATTGCTATCTTCTTGCTGCACTTTGTACACATGTATGACAGCAGTAAATCAAAGTTATAGAGCTATCGGTAAATTCTTTTTTGTGTATATATACAGGTTGGTTTCCCAGAGACAGTGCATAACTTTTGTACTTTAAGTTATCTTGCTTAAGTAAATGCTACCACTCATACTTTATATATAAATAGCATTTTTAAATCACTTTGCCTCAGACCTAAAGAACTCACTGCATCTGAAATCTTGTCTAAATCTATCCTAACTATGCAGTTGGTCCAACAAAAGATATCACCCACAAAAATCCTTGATTCTTGCATATTCTATACCTTGTACAGGAGAGATCGAGTAGATAAAAGGGGCTGGAGTGTAGCTCTCTACGTTAAGGAAAGCTACATGTCCCTGAAAGCTGATGTTGGCGACCAGGGTGGACGACTGGAGACCC